TAATGATAACGATAGTGACTGGTGTTGATACTGCTGATCCTCAAAACGATATTCAATCAATAAACACCAAACGCCAAAACACTCAAAATAATTCCAGCCAAACAACCCAAGCAAATCAAACACAAAACGAATCAATAAACAAGCCAAACACAGCACGGTTGAAGAGCGAAGAAGGCAGAGCGGGTCCAGAGAGTAGCCTGACACCCCCCTGACTCAACTCAAGGCCTATGTAGTTACACGAGCATCTTCAGTAGCCCGGGAGAGGAACGTGACACAGGGAGGCTGCGGGGGGATAAAATGACGTCCTTTCGCCGATGTGTGGCCTCTGGTTCGACGGTGGCACACGTCTCTATGTAAATCGGTATTAATGCTATTACACGCTACGAGAAGAATATGTTGCGATAACCAGTGAAGTTCCTCGCGACTAGATAAGTTGATAAGGAACTTTTTTGGGGCAGGGAACTAGTGAAGTTTCTCTCGGCTAGATAACTTGATAAATAACTTTTTTCGGAGAACTAGTGAAGTTTCTCTCGAATAAATAGCTTGATATATAACTTTTTTTGAGAGGGAACTTGTGAAGTTTCTCTTGACTAAATAACTTGATAAATAACTTTTTTCAGAGAACTAGTGAAGTTTCTCTCGACTAAGTAACTTGATAAATAACTTTTTTGGGGGACAGAGAACTAGTGAAGTTTCTCTTTACTAGATAACTCGATAAATAACTTTTTTTTGAGAGGGAACTAGTGAAGTTTCTCTCGACGAGATAACTTGATGATTTTTTTTTTATCAGAGAACTAGTGAAGTTTTTCTCGACTAGATAATTTGATAAATAACTTCTTTTTTTTGAAAGAACTAGTGAATTTTCTCTCGACTAAATAACTTGATAAATAACTTCTTCTTTTGAGAGAACTAGTGACGTTTCTCTCGACTAAATAGCTTGATGGATAAGGTTTTTTTGAGAGAGAGAACTAGTTTCTTCTCGTATGATATGGTCTCTGGTGAAGGGTATGATTTTAGTTCAGATAGTGAAACGCTGGTATAGAATTATAGATTAGGTAAGGGAATTTTGTTTGTATTTGTATTTAATGATTCCGTTTTATAGTGTGTTAACAGCGCTTTCAGATTTCACGAAAGGTTTAATGAGAACTATTTCAATATTCAGCGCATAAAATTTGCCGTTGTGAGATATCACTAGAAATGACAGATCGCGCCTTCTCCACAATGCTGTTGCTTGTTCTATCGCCAAATCAAATTGAACTGCTGACAGGGATGTTCAGCAGAACGTTGAACAGAGATTAACCCCATCTGCTAGGATGCAAAGCAAGACCATTCACCTTTTAGAATTATATATATATATATATATATATATATATATATATATATATATATATATATATATATATAATTGTGTGCGTGTGTGTGTGTGTGTGTGTGTGTGTGTGTGTGTGTGTGTGTGTGTGCGTGTGTGTGTGTGTGTGTGTTTTAGTCGGGTACATGTTTTTAATTTCAAAATATCCTTGTTTCACTTCCCTGCGTTTAATCAAATCACCCCTACTTTTGTTTGTTTGTCTGTGCTTATGTTCACGCCTCCAGACCAAATGCCTTTAATCCGCCCCAACACCCTAATACTTTCCACGGCGTTCACCCATAATTCTTTCCGCTTATAAATAATTTTGCGTGCATTTTGCCGCACTTTGATATTACGATAATAGTAATGGCAAGTTCAAATTGGCGATTAATACTTATAATGTACCAATAACCACATAACAACGTTCGAAAATATCTCGAAATGACACGCAACATAAAATTACCTACAATGCAATCTCTCTTCTCCCCCCCCCCGCCCCCCGTTTTTCAATACTCTTTCTGACTTGGATAACAATTTAACACAAAAATCAAGAATAAGTAAGTAATATATATTTTTTGTACATGTTTTGACACAGAGGTAAGAACAACGAGGGTTACTTTCTAGCACATGTCAACAGAAAAAAAAAAAAAAAAAAAAAAAAAAAAAAAAAAATATATATATATATATATATATATATATATATATATATATATATATATATATATATATATATACTTTAACACAAAACTAACAACGAAAGCATATAACAAAATATACTTTTGATATATTTTAGCTCAAAGAACGAGAGAGTGAAGGAGAGAGAGAGAGAGAGAGAGATTCTCTATGTGAGGAAGCCTTTGATTAAAAGCTTAGACTTTTATATCAATATCCATCTCCACTGTATAAAACACGGAGTATATGGAGACCGAGAGCCAATTCACAGCGGGTATTAACTCAAGTCAGACTGAACACAGGATGAAACGCCAAATCTTTTGAATGAAAAGAATTGAAAATTAAAATATACAAGAAAAAAATATTCGAATGGTCCCTCCCTCTCTATTTTTTTCATCTTTTATTTCTTTATATTTTTTTGCATATCAAAAGTGTCGATATCGTTAAGAGAAGGAAAAGAAAAGAAAATGAGGGAAAAAC